GGCCTTGCGACGGGCTGATCCCCCATCCAAGTAGTCCTACCTTCTATGTATAGATTAAGAAATTGAAAAAGCGGCCAAGATCCACAAGGGCTGCAGAGCCATAGATTGATGGATAGATAGATAGATAGGCAGGTAGGTGTAATTTCGCTCTGTTACTATGGACAAGCCCACTGTCCAACTTTGTATCCCGCACTTCGCAAATGCCGAAATTTTAAAGAGGAAACGTGTTTTTAAAACACTTGAATTTTCCTCAGTCATTTATTCTATCCTATTTGCAATATTATGTCGACATGTAAACACGATTGCATAATGAGGAGCTTCATAACTTGTACTCTTCTTCAAGTATAATTAGAATGATCAAGTCGAGGAGGATGAGGTGGACAGGTCATGTAGCACGAATGGGGGAGACGAGGAATGTGTATAGGATATTGGTGGGAAAGCCAGAAGGAAAGAGACCACTAGGAAGACCAAGGCGTAGGTGGGTGGACAATATTAGAATGGATCTTAGAGAGATAGGATGGGATGGTATGGATTAGATAGATGTGGCTCAGGATAGGGACCAGTGGAGGGCTCTTGTGAACACGATGATGAACCTTCGGGTTCCATAAAATGCTGGGAATTCCTTGAGTAACTGCAGAATTGGCGGCTCCTCAAGAGGGGCTCAGCTCCATGAGTAAGTAAGTATAAACACGATTATGATAAGGAGAACCCACTGTGTAAATTGTGACAGCGTGTGGAACTAATAAAATGATTTATTTACTTCCTTATTTATGATTTATTAGGCGATGCCACAAGTACCTCAGTATATATATCTTCGAATGGTAGAATAGTTAATGTACAATTAATTAGGAAGAATGGTGCGGATAGAAGCAGAGTTGGCTTTAATTTAGGTACTAGCCTAGCAGTTGCCTGGAGGAACTGAAGAGAATCACGACAATCTTCAGTCATATTAATCTGTTTTCACTGAGAATCTGGCCCCTTTTTCTACCGAACACAGTTCAGAAGCATTAACCGTTGAGCTAACTTGCTGCGTGACGTTGTCTTTCTTTACACACTACACACTCATTCATCAATCATGAAGCGACATTCGCAGAACTGGGATTCATACGCCACTGCAGCGACACAGCGTAACATTGCAGACAATTCTTCCGGTTCATTTGCCTTACGCAGAACAGCGACGCCGTATTCTGTCCTGACGATATGAATTGAATTCTACTGCCTACGAAGCAAGTTAACACAGTTCACAGAACATTGCCTTTGTGTTTCTTCCATATCTATTCCCTACTTTCTTCTGTGTCTCAATTCCAGAGATAATCGTTTTAAATTTCGCTTCGCAACAAAGAATTTTGACGATTTGTCGTGTTCCGTGAGTCACAGTAGGTGAATTCTTCTTGCTTAGGTTAGGAACTAGTGGAGGGCTCTTGTGAACATAATAATGAGCCTTTACCTACCTACCTACCTCCCTCCAACTCGGCTCTACAGCCCTGGGTGAACCTTGGCCTCCTCTACAACCAGTCTCCACAACCAATGCGTGCTGCTGGCGTAGGAATGGACCCACGCATGATGACCCGAGGCTGGTTGTTAGGTTTCTGAACAAAATTCTTTTTACAGGATGAGGTAATCAGCCTCATGCCCAACCCCCAACCTGGAGGGCCAGGGTATCTCTCTTAGTCTGGACTCTACTCTTTGACCTTTCAGACATGGGTTACCCTACCGGTAGTTAAACTACCGCCGGCATAGCTCTCAAGGTCACAGAGTCACGCACACCCCACCACCATGACAAGGTGGAGACACCTTTGGGAGGAATAATGAACCTTTTGTTTTCATAACATTTTGGGAAATTCTTGAATGACTCAACGACTGATGACTATTCAATGACTCGGCTTCCTGGAGTTAATATCATTGCTTTTATCATGATTGTAACTTTACGTTGGGTACATCATCATCATCATGTGTCAACGCAATCATTCTCGAAATTCTTTTAAGTTGGTTATTTAACGACGCTTTTAGTAACGAGACTATAACCATGATATAAAAAGTTCAGTGACTTTCTAGAACAAGCTGCCGTGGAAAACATTTGTGTGTTATTGGGCAGCTCTGCTTAGTGGAATGAACGTCAGACTCGTCACAGACAAAACACACAGAAGAAAACTGCGTGGTTTTTACTTCGCAGGCGAATTACACAGGCTGAGCGACCACCGCTCGTCATCTAACTTAGTGCCAACTTTAGCTGATAGAGGGTGTCGCGTCGTCAGCGCAACGGCCCTTAATTTCGGTATTCTAGACCGGAGCCGCTATTTCCTTGAAATAGCTCCTCAATTATCCTCATGAGACTGAGTGGTCCCGTTCCAGACCCACTACTTCTCAGATAATCTGGTAGCGCCGGGAATCGAGCCCAGACCTCTGGATCTGTAGCCAGGAGCTCTGACCACTAGATCACAGAGGCGGTCTCTGTCTACAGGCATTAAAGTTTAAGTCGTGGACACTGCCTACAGTAAATGTTTGTCTCTTCAAACAAAAAAAAAATATATGTCCCTCAAAGTACGGGGCGAATCCATCAGAAAATTGAAGTTTTTTATGTCCCATATGGCTGCCAGCAATGCAGCAGAACACTGAACACTGAAGAATACGTGTTGACTTTGCTCTAGAGCTTTTGTACAGTGAGGAAGTGGGTAACATAGCTGACCTACCTCGGAGTTTTATGAAGATTAATGTACTCAGACCGTTCCACGTTCTAACACATATCTTCTCGGATAATAGGTCTATAGAAAGCATCTCTTACTGTCCTTAACTAGAACAGAATTTTCTATCCTGCCGTCAGTGCACGGAAAGTGAAGCACAGTGTTCAGGAAAAGCCTTTTAGAGCCGTATGATTGTAGAAGTCCCTAGGCCCTCCGCCAGTTTTCTCCACTTCTTTCTGACGAGTCTAGTATGATAAAGGGAACATCATAAAGAAAATTTGCTCTGTACCAAACAAAACTTTTTTCCCTTTTTACCTTCTACCTTTTATAATGCTAACTTTTAGAGAGAAAAAAAATGCGAATATCTCTTGACATCGGAATACGGTATAAACCCCAAAACATGAACGCAGTAATTATATAAAAAGGAAAAAAAATACTTTCGTATATTAGTGCCACATTACCCTGCTTAAAGTCCCCGAGAATAGCAATGTACTTATCATGTTAGAATTCTGAGTCCTTTAAGCGCATATCAGACATTAGGACGAGCGATATTTCTTTCATGAGTGCCAACTTAAGAACTTTAAAAAGCCGTACCTCGGTAGCACTCCAAGCGATAAGAAGGAAAATCGTGCATTTTCTCTTCCATACAATTTTATATTAAGCTTTTAAGCTACCAAATTACTTTCGTACATTCTTTCCTAATGAACCTTCATTTAGCTGTTGCTTATTTAACGACATCTTCAATAGCTGGACTATATATCATCGAATGCATATTTGATAGGTGATTTTGAAACGATTTGGAGGGGAAACTGTCGAGACATCAAAGAACTACGCCAGGATTTAACTGGAGAGACTGAGGAAACCCACGAATGATCTTAGTCATGGTAGCCGTTGTATAAATTTGAAAGTAACACTGCCTTGAGAATCTCAAATCCAAAATCTGAATAATTTTATCTGATTTCAAGCTAATTAGAAATAAAAACGAATAATTTATTTACGGAAAGGTTAAAATAGGCGCTGTCGGGCTGACTGGTCTCATTGCTTTAATGGAATGTTAAATAACAAAGACAAAACAACTCCGTCCACTGTGACTATTGAAGTTTTTACTACTGGAAAACTTAACACCCTTACATGTTTCGGTCCCTGTAGACCATCATCAGAGGAACATCGATACATCGATACAAACCAAATGTTAAATACCATGAAAACCTGCTAACAAAATCCCTGCTTAAATATGCATGAGTGTAATTTTGGATTTTAAATTAAAATATTTTAATTTGAATGGCTTATATACGAATATATTGCTTTGAAAAGCCGGGAATATAATTTTAAAATCAATATTTTTAGTTTTCTTATTAGCAAAATTCCTTCATGGCCCTCAAGGGTACGAACGTTCTTATCACCGCTTTAGACCAGTTTCCTTAACACAGATTTCAAGTGTTCTCTTTCATCTTACGCAGAAATAAATACACGATTTGCAAATGAAAACCTTATGTATTATTTCCATTTTAAAAGTCGTGGGGTGTAACCATCAATTACATTTTACACTAATTCCAGATTCCTTTAAAATATTTCGTTTAACATTGCGATGGTCCCATAAAGAATATCCACGTATGCAGAGGTCCGTGGTCCAGAAAATTTTGGCCCTTCCAGCTAGACAATGGACAAAGTCCGTCCGGTTTCTAATAATGACTACACTGTTGCTATTTAGAGAGTTACACGTACTCTGCTTACCTTCAAGAAAGAGAGTTCATATATTTGAATGATGAAGAGGTCAGTTATTTCCTTTTTCCTAATTTCTTTTTCATGACCTAATGAACTAAGATTTCTCATTCGCCATTTTCGAAGTCATATGACCTTCTGTGATATTTAATCAACATATTCTTTTAAATTCATGCAACTTCCAACTTTATAAAAATCGATTACTCTTTAATAAGCTGCTCCTGTTTTCAAGAATAATCTGAAAGCTTGTCCCAATTTAATGATCACACAACTTGACTTCCATATTTCGGCCATGTTACTACACGGTTTCTGTCCATGTGTTTAATACATTTTCCTCGTAACAATGCAGCTAATTTCTAAGTATTTTTAAATATATGGAAGCAAGTGACAGGAGAATGGAGGAAACTGCATAATGAGAAGCTTCGCAATTTGTTTGAATATTATTAGAATTATCAAATAAAATTTTATCAGTAAATTATCCCTTACAAGTACTCGTATATAATCATCGAGATTTGTGCCCAAGCTCAGCGTGTTGAATTTTTATAATTGTGTATGACGTGATCCAGTTTTTAAAATACTCCTTTTCTCTTGTTCCAGGGTCCGCGTGGAGTATTATGTCAACGAAAATACATTCAAAGAACGACTGCAACTCTATTTCATCAAAAATCAACGTTCCAGTAAGCATTATTATTATTATTATTATTATTATTATTATTATTATTATTAGTTCTCCTCTGGACTGCTGTCTACTTCAGTCTGACATTAACTCTATACAAGGTTGGTGCGTTGCTAACTGTATGAAACTCAACATCAGTAAAACTAAACTTATATCTTTCTCCAGGAAAACCAACGTACTGATCTACGATTATGAACTTTGTCAATCGTCAGTAGCCCATACCGATTCTATAAAAGGCCTGGAGTGTTTATTGATTCTAAACTATATTTCCATGACCAGGCCAATTACATTTTCTCTCACTGTGTTAAACTGTTGGGTCTAGTTCGTAACATTACTTTCAATTTCACATCTCTTGACTGTATGTTCAGATTGTACACTGCATTAGCTAGATCTAAGCTTGAATATGCGTCCGTAGTCTGGAATTCGATTACGTGAACTGATGCCAACAGCTGGAACGCATCCGGAAGAGGTTTGCGGCCCTCTGTTTGAAACTTTTCTTTCCTCAAGTTCATTACAATTATTCTCTTGCTCTGGAGGAGTTAAAATTGCACACTTTACGTACTGGGAGACATCGCCTTGATGCTCTCTTTCTTATTCGCGTTTATTCTGGCTCGAAATTCGGCCCTTCTCTTCTGGAAATTGTTGGGCCCCAAGTTCCTGCTCGGTATATCAGAGATTTTGCATTGTTCAATGTTTGCTCCTCATCTAAAAGTTGTCCCTCTGCTAGACGTGCAGCAGCTGCTAATGTTGTCTGCAGGGATGTTGACGTGTTCGGAGCCAGGAAAGTTCTCCCCAAACGATTTGTAAATATAATATAAATATTATTATTATTTACATGTATAATAAACAACAATTAAACTGAATAATTATTATTATCCTCTCTGAAAATCTGTACTCTTCTATTTCTCAGTTAAATATTTATACGTTTTATTTCTCAGTTCTCAATAACACTTAGATTTATGTTAGTGAAATTATTATTATTATTATTATTATTATTATTATTATTATTTGTTTGTTCACTTGTCTGCATTATTGTGTTTTCCTCCAATGCTTGCCTGTAATTTGTCTTTGACTTTATGAGGTGTTTGTCCATAATGTAACTACTTATATCTACCCTGTGCTCTGTCTGTAATTGGCCTTGCGGCTGTTGACTCGGAACATAAATAAAAAAGAAATGAACTGAAGAATTGAATTGAATTGAATTATTATCACTTGGGCCGATCACAGTGGCTGCTGGGTCTGAGGCATGAACTACCTTCGCTCACTCAAATATTGGGATCGTGGGTTCGAATCCCACTTAAGGCATGGATATCTGTGTGTGCGTTTATTCTGTGTTTATGTTGTTTTGTGTGTAGGTAGCGACCTTGGGACGGGGTGATCCTCCGTCCAAGGAGTCCTACTGTCTGTGTAAAAAGAAAGATTACGAAACTGAGGAAGAGGCCGGGGCTCAACAAAGCGCTGTAGAGCCTTTGATGCATGAATAAATGAATTATTGTTTGGTGAGTTGAGACTGGGTCCCTCGCTACTCAGGTCCTCAGGTAATAGATGAGAAATTGAATATTTCGTGGAATGAGTTTTGGCGAGGGAAGCTGAAATATTGGGAGAAAAATTTGTTTCCGTGTCATTTAGTTCGCCAAAAACACATGAACTGACCTAGGAATAAAACCGGCCCTCTGCGGTCAGAAGTAGGGGCATATCCGCCCTGATCTCCAAGTACCGAACGTTATAACTGAACTTGATTCTGCTGAGAGTTTAGTGCTTCTGTGAATCGCGACAAGGCCCGATCAGTGAGTCCATTGGCACACGTTCGTTTCTTGAGTGGGTCTGGATTTCGAGCAGTGACAATTTTGTCTTCTCCGGTATTGATCAGAACTAAACAAAACTTGGACTTAACTGAACAGTTCAGAAAACATAATTTCATAACTCTGTGTCAGAGTGTTCTGTAGTGTGTTAACAATAACTCCACAGGACGGAATATTTCTCGAGAAGCCAACGGTTGCTCATCCACTCAGGATATTCCCGGAATGTCATAGCACTCTTTAGATAGATTTTTAGGATTATGCTTCCATTTACGTCTAGGTTTTCTTGTGTTCCCTTTCATTCAGTTCTTCTACAGAAAATTCGCAAGTGCTTCTATTCCATGTGTGCTACATTCTACTCGGTTTTATAATCCTAAAAATATCTGGCGAGGAGTACAAATTATGGAACTCTCCCTTACGGGGTTTTATCCAGCCTGACATTAATACGCTAATATATATTATTGTGACATGTCAAACCGTTGTTGGGCAACGGATGTGGAACGAGGTTACGCAACAGTAAGGAAAGCGGTGTTTGTCAGTGCCGTGCCGAGACGAGCCGAACTGAGCCGAGCCTAGCCGAGCCGAGCCCGAAGCGCGCTGGTTGCTAGGCAACGTTGCCCAGCCCAGTTATAGTATGTGTCCTGTGACCTTTTTTAATTTAATTTTAAGCAATAAAACAAATATTATTTGTGTGGGTTATTTAAGGGCTTTCCTAGTAGCTGTGCTATATAGAGTTTAATAATATGATGACGTGTGAATAATTAATTGTAAAAGGATCTGGAAGGAAGGATGCCGTTGACTGATAGAATTTTCCTTGACGGACTGAGTAAAACCATAATAAATCTCGGCCAGAAGATGTGGCGTACCGGTTAAGATACGAACCGAGTACCACTCGAATACGAGTCTAGAACGTGACAGCTACGCCGTCTCGGTCGGTATAATTGTCATATTAATAGTTTAAATTTGAATTATGCAGAATAAACTCAGTTCGAACTTACGTAGACATACTTTAATCAAAATAAGTGACGGAAGAAAAACTCGAGGTTTGATTTTCAAAGACAAGACATGTGAAGTGAGTGACATAGGCTGGTGTGACGTGGCTGTTGTGATGAAAATGAGGATTTGGAGGATGGAGGTTGAGGATAGGCTGTATTGAAAAGAACATAGAAACCCATGAAGAGTTTACATTCGGCTATATAAGACATGTGGTACAGTGAAAGTTGGTCGACGCTTCAGAGAAAAGTACCGAATCTGTCTTCAGGATAATTTATGTACCCTTCGTGCTAATTTCTTGCTTGTCTTACTGCCCAACTCTGAAGATGGGAACGATATAGTGCTTCGAAACGTCGACTGACTTTCAGCGGACTAAATAGATTTATATGCCAGAAGATAGAATTCTGCTTAATGAGAGACAGAGAGAGAGGCAACAATATTTCTCAGCGGAGCAATATGGACCAGTAGGAATGATGAGAGAGAGAGAGAGAGATAGAGGCAACAACATATCCCAGCAGAGCAATATGGACCAGTAGGAATGATGAGAGAGAGAGACAGAGGCAACAACATATCTCAGCAGAGCAATATGGACCAGTAGGAATGATGAGAGAGAGAGACAGAGGCAACAACATATCCCAGCAGAGCAATATGGACCAGTAGGAATGATCAGAGAGAGAGAGAGAGAGGCAATAATATATCCCAGCAGAGCAATATGGACCAGTAAGAATGGTGAGAGAGAGAGAGGTAACAACATATCTCAGCAGAGCAATATGGACCAGTAGGAATGATGAGAGAGAGAGAGAGAGAGACAAAGGCAACAACATATCCCAGCAGAGCAGTATGGACCAGTAGGAATGAAGAGAGAGAGAGAGACAGAGGCAACAACATATCCCAGCAGAGCAATATGGACCAGTAGGAATGATGAGAGAGAGAGAGAGAGAGGCAACAACATATCCCAGCAGAGCAATATGGACCAGTAGGAATGATGAGAGAGAGAGAGACAGAGGCAACAACATATCCCAGCAGAGCAATATGGACCAGTAGGAATGATGAGAGAGAGAGAGACAGAGGCAACAACATATCCCAGCAGAGCAATATGGACCAGTAGGAATGATGAGAGAGAGAGAGACAGAGGCAACAACATATCCCAGCAGAGCAATATGGACCAGTAGGAATGATGAGAGAGAGAGAGACAGAGGCAACAACATATCCCAGCAGAGCAATATGGACCAGTAGGAATGATGAGAGAGAGAGAGACAGAGGCAACAACATATCCCAGCAGAGCAATATGGACCAGTAGGAATGATGAGAGAGAGAGAGACAGAGGCAACAACATATCCCAGCAGAGCAATATGGACCAGTAGGAATGATGAGAGAGAGAGAGACAGAGGCAACAACATATCCCAGCAGAGCAATATGGACCAGTAGGAATGATGAGAGAGAGAGAGACAGAGGCAACAACATATCCCAGCAGAGCAGTATGGACCAGTAGGAATGATGAGAGAGAGAGAGACAGAGGCAACAACATATCCCAGCAGAGCAGTATGGACCAGTAGGAATGATGAGAGAGAGAGAGACAGAGGCAACAACATATCTCAACAGAGCAATATGGACCAGTAGGAATGATGAGAGAGAGAGAGAGAGAGAGAGGCAACAACATATCCCAGCAGAGCAATATGGACCAGTAGGAATGATGAGAGAGAGAGAGACAGAGGCAACAACATATCTCAACAGAGCAATATGGACCAGTAGGAATGATGAGAGAGAGAGAGAGAGAGAGAGGCAACAACATATCCCAGCAGAGCAATATGGACCAGTAGGAATGATGAGAGAGAGAGAGACAGAGGCAACAACATATCCCAGCAGAGCAGTATGGACCAGTAGGAATGATGAGAGAGAGAGAGACAGAGGCAACAACATATCCCAGCAGAGCAGTATGGACCAGTAGGAATGATGAGAGAGAGAGAGACAGAGGCAACAACATATCCCAACAGAGCAATATGGACCAGTAGGAATGATGAGAGAGAGAGAGAGAGAGAGAGGCAACAACATATCCCAGCAGAGCAATATGGACCAGTAGGAATGATGAGAGAGAGAGAGACAGAGGCAACAACATATCCCAGCAGAGCAGTATGGACCAGTAGGAATGATGAGAGAGAGAGAGACAGAGGCAACAACATATCCCAGCAGAGCAGTATGGACCAGTAGG